TTTTTTTTATATCAACTTCAAATTTGGAACATATCTTATTTAGACATAAGGCTTTAATTTTACATAAATTTTGGATTCAAAAATATTTTGTAAAATATTTACTTTATATAAAATAAAATAAAAATTGGTACAGTGAATTTTCTTTACAGTAAATTTAAACTTCTATAACTTTTTGATACTTTAATATTTTGAAATGATTCCACTTGTCTTCTTAAAAAGTTTTCATGAATTAATAATTTATCAGAATAATAATTTAAGTTTGGATAGTGCACTTTCACGTCTATGTTCAAAAATGGGGGGGGGGGCACTTAAGGGTTAATATTTATTTATGTATGTTTGAAAACATTTTATTTATTACCTGGTTTGAAGGGTTAAATCGCCTAAAAATTAAAATTCTGTCATCATTTACTCACCCTCAAGTTGTTCAAAACCTGTAAGAGTTTCTTTCTTCTGTTGAGCACAAAATAAGATAATTTGAAGAATGCTGGTAACCAATCATTTGATGGTAGCTATTGACTTCCATAGTATTTTTTTTCCATTCTATAGAAGTCAATGGCTGCCGTTAACTGGTTGGTTACAAGCATTCTTCAAAATAACTTATTTTATTTATTTTATTTTATTATTATTTTATTTATTTTTTGTGCTCAATAGAAGAAACTACACAGGTTTGTGTAGTTACAGGTTTGGAACAACTTGAGGGTGAGTAAATAATGACAGATTTGTAATTTTTGGTTGAACTATTCATTTTAAATTAGATTTAAAAACCTGATTTTTTCAAACTTTTGTACACCACTGTTCATAATCTAATTTAAATATTTTTTTAAAATATTATTATTCTTGGGATTAGAAAAATAAACTTGTTTATTAAGGAAGAAATATGTAATATTTATAAATATTGTGGGTAAAAAAATTATATTTAAATAAATAATATAATACAAAAATGCAGAATTCACTATTTCTCATCCACTAATCATTTAAACTAAATTGTGAAATTTTATAATGAATATAAATTCATTACAAAAATAATTTTTCATTGTTAATCTAATCATATAATTGATACCTATTTAAATTTTATATATCATTTTTATTTGTATTAATTTATACTGTATGTTTTTACTTTACATGCACTTAAACATCTGTGGTTTCTCTAATGCAGATGTTGGATGAAGAGGTTCGGGAACACGGAGAGGGTCATAGCAGCAGTTCCATCCCTTCAACTGGGGAAAGCGGCTACAGCGCCACCAAGAGGCTGAAGCCCAATCAAGCTCCTGCTGCAAGGTAGTTTCACGGCATCACTTCATGATATCAGACACTGACAGAAAAATACTGTTCCATCTCTGCTATCTTAACCAGTACAATATTTACCCAACATTTGTAATACACAGCTTCTGTGACAATTCTCTTTGATGGTCTAAAGAAAAGGTCTTTTTATGCTGTGTGTATATAAAACATGTACCTGCAAAAAATTTGAATAGCATAATAACGCTCACATTGTTCATGCAGACCACAGGAGTCTTCAGGATCGAGCTGTGTCATACTGTGAGGAGGTTCATGTTCTCAAAAGAGCTGAAAGATCTGCCCACAGACGGAAGGAGCAGAGGTGATTTAGGATGAATGCAATGTACATCTACTACACACTGCTGCATTTTTTTCCATATGCCAAAGAATATACTGCAATGTAGGCTTATTGCTTTTAAGCATGTTTACTGTTCACATTTTAAAGGTTTTTATACTGAGATGTATTACTATTTAAAATGCAGAATCACTCAGTTATCACCAATAATGGCCAAAATCTAACTATAAAGAAATACACAGACACAAAAACATCATGTATAGTAACAGCATATTTATCTAGTCATGCCAACTCTGAATATATATCACTATAGTGCAAAACAATGCTATTATTAGCACATTTTTAATATGAAATCATTTAGTGCAATAAGATTTTTTAGTTTGCATGAGATTTTGCTCTGTTATACACTGGAACAAAAGGGAAAACTGCTTTTATATATACGGAATGTTGTTTTAATTATACTCTGCAATACTTAATGCAAATATAAATATTTTTTGTCTGCTTGTTTTAATCAAACTTTTACTGTTAGATCCATTTAGTGGTGTAATTGTTACTAACTCTGATATACTGGTCAATATTATATTTTGCATGTGAATGAATAAAAGCTCAGTGATTTGCTCTAAATATTTGACAAGGTCTATTAAACCAGCGGTTTTAACTGTTCATGCTCTGGTCAACACTGCCCTCTTCTGGAACATTGCTGATCTCTCAAGTCTCTTGTTTTGCGATTCGGCCCGAATCAGTTTTCTAAAGTGTTTTTGAAAAATCACTTACTCTGCCTTTAAATCCAATGCTAGACTTTAAGTCTGGAATTGAAGTCTTAGAGAGAGTCGTTGTAACATCAATCGTAGGTTTTTATTGGAATAAGGGTGTATTTAAGTATTATTAGGTCTCTATTTGTTAATTAATGTTTACTGTATTTGTTTATAGTTATTGCCTTGGTTTCCACATTCATGAAAAACCTGGAAATATAAGGGAGTTTGAAAACTGATTTCCAGGTCATGATAAAGTCAGAAATTTCTATAGTAAATTATCTGTGTTCCTGTTGTCCTATATGAAATATGAAAGTTCAGTTGGCCACATGGTGGCAGCACACTGCTTTTTGTTGTTATTTCATAAAGTAGGCCACCGAATGCAGGTGGTGATGAGAGCGCTGACCCTGTCTATGTTTAGACTCGTATGATATTACTTATATTGGATAAAAAATTCATGCATTGTTGTTTTCACCTTTATTTTGGCCTCTATCATCACTGCATGCTAAACAGTGTCCATTTACGGTTTCAAAACAGACATTTTGGATCACTCAGTTGCAGCTGATGCAACAACATCTAATTTCTGAAACTGCCAGCAATTACCCGGTTGAATCCTTGGCTCAAATTTTCGCAATTTGCACCTCATCTTTTCACGTTTGCTCGAAGCTGATGCCAGATTCTCTGCTGATTGTTCTCTCTCCTGCCTTACATTCTTTTGGCAGGTGGTAGAGGATTCAGAATACCATTCATGGTCAATGTGTTTCAGTGTGTTTTTGATGGATTGTAGCAGGGTTACAGACTGAGGCCACAGCGAAAATCTGGGATTCTTAACCTAATCTAAATCTGAAAATAATCTTAAAATAAAAATTATTTCAAAATAAAGTTTTTTTTGCGATATTTCGATAATTTCGATATATTGCACAGCCCTACTTCATTACTAAGAAGGATATTTTTGTAAGTAATAAAATGATACCCTGCACCTTTTAAACCTTATATTTTGTTGTTGATGATGGATTGTTCTTCCTCTACATGCCAGATCTCCAGAGCAAAGACATCCATAAGCATCATGTACTTTTAAGTTTCTTAAGGAGAACAGAAGCAGTAGGGGGGGGGGATGAAATACATAACATTTCCGTGTTCTCTGGCTTACCTTTTGACTACTGGGCAGTAAATCAGGTCTTATCTGAGTCTCTGGCACGCTTCTTCTGGAGGGCTGCCCTGTTTAATTGCTCTGTAACTGGAGTTGAAAGGGGACGGGGTGGCTGATGCTAAGGCCAACGAGGGCTCGCTGACCTCAATGCTTTCATAGTTTGCTGACAATTTGAGATCTGCCCCTGCAAGCCTGTGTCTGTTCATATAAGTGCATTAAATCTTTTGTTTGGGGTTTTGTTTTGTGCTGTCTTTTTTTGCTTGTTTTCCTTTGATTTTTGTTTTCTTTTGTTTTTGAGTTTTTGTTTTGTTTTGTGCTGTCCTTGGCTTTTTTTATTATTATTAGTTTTTTCGTTTTGTTCTGTTTTTGTTTTGTGTTTTGCTTTGCTTTTGTTTTGTTGCATGTGCCTCTTCATATAAGTGCAATAAATATATTTTGTTTTGGTTTCATGCTGTCCAGTTTGATTTGTTTTGCTTAGATTTTGCTTTTCTTGTGTTTTTGTTTTGTGCTGTTCTTTTTTATTTGATTTTTGTTTTTTTGTTCTGATTCGATTTGCTTTGATTTTGTTTGCAGGTATCTGCTCAAATAAGCACAGTAAATATCACTTTTAAAGTGATGCATGTGTTACTTCCAAATGCATGGCATTAACTTAATGGCAAATGGATCACTACTGTAAGTTTTATCCTGTGCTTTGAATATTTGACTTTTTACTTTGCTTTTAAATTGGACCAGTAAGAGTTTTGCACAGGAAAGAATCTCCAAAATCTAGTGAACAGGTTCTTGTTTAGACTTCAGCTCAGTCTTTTTTTGCAGGAGTCTTGTCAGATATTATGTTGTGGTGACGTCACTGATACACGATTCACACGGTTATTTTTGAAAGTCAAGAACAAGGTCTGCCTGTGTCTTTTTTGTGATTCTGAAATGAAAGCAGCAAGGTGTTCCACAGTTTTTTGTGGTTTCTTATAATAAAGACCTTCTTTTAGCTTGTAATGTTGCTTCATGAATCTGCACTTAGGAAGGAGATTTAAGCATAAATGTTTAATACTCAAGCACTTCAGACCTTCCTTTTAGTGTCTAAGAAATGAAGGAATCAAAATGTGTTTCAGTGACTGAATAAGTTTGAATTATGCTCAGAAATATACTGTGGCTTCATGCATGAATAACACATCGTGATTCTCCATAATATCTACAAATCTGATGCCTTGCTCTTTCAGTTGGTGTTGATTTAAGGTAAATTCCAACCAAACAGCATCCATTGTGGGGTCATGCACTGTAACAACCAGCATAAATGGCAAATAATTCACAAATAATACCAAGATTAAAGGCTGCATTTAAAGTGGAATGCATGGCAGGTAGAAAGTTTCTGCATGGCAGGTAGAAAATAAAAATGCGTTTTTTGTGCATTTACTTTTTTTTTGTACATTATATATTTTGTACATTAACATATTGCTGTGTATTTACATCCATGTCCACTTAAAATCTCAGCCTTTACTCTTGCTATTGGTGATTCATTTGTACTGTTTATGCTGTTTGTTGTTGTTCGGTTGGAACTTGCATCTTACCTTAAATCAACACCAACTGAAAGAGTGGCTGAATGATTTGCGATTTCATTATGGTGTACCTCATTGTCAAACACAGTCACCGGTCTCTTGTTTCTGTTTTGGAAATGGTGCATTAACGCTCTAAAACACAAGGCCCTGGCAGAACAACACGTGCTGTTGACTCTGACAATCCCTCTGCTTTTGGAGCATTTCATGCGCAAGGACTGATGCATTAAACACTAGCGTGCTTACCATTCTTTTCTTGTGAAATGTGTCTGAGGAGCTCCGTGGTGATTTTAAGACTATTTTGTATAGTCTTAGAGACATGTTTGGCTTTTCAAACTGATCTTACATTACAGTTTTGGAGCTCACGTGAAGAAAAGAGTGACAGACTGTCTGGCGCTGTTTACATGTTGAATGTTTTCTTGACTTGAAATTGATTGTTTTAAATGTTCTCGGAGTTTTTTTGTTCTCATAGTGATTCATTAGCATGTACATTATACGTTGTTTTTTTTGTGTTGCTTTTGCTTTTCTTTACTTTGTTTTTGTTTTGTTTGTATGTCAAAGTATTAGTTTTTTGTTGTTTTTGTCTTCCTTTTTGCTTTGCTTTGTTTTATTTGTATGTCAAAGTAAGTCGTTTTTTGTTTTGTTTTGTTTTGTTTTTGTTTTGTTTGGATGTAAGTTTTATACATTAAGGTTTTTGGCTTTGCTTTGTTTTTTTTTGTATGTCAAAGTATTATCTTTGTCATTTGTGTCATTGTTTTGTTTTGTTTTGCTTTTTATTTTTATTTATTTTGCTTTGTTTTTGTTTTGTTTTTGATGTCAGAGTTTTATACATTAAGTTTTTTTTTGTTTTGTTTGTATGTCAAAGTATTATCTTTGTTGTTTTTGACATTCTTTTGCTTTGTTTTGCTTTTTGTTTTTGTTTTGTTTGGATGTCAGAGTTTTATACATTAAGGGTTTTTTGTTTTGTTTTTGATCTTCTTTACTTTGACATGCAAACAAAACAAACATTACAAAGTAAAGTAAACTGTCTACATGGCAGGTGAATTTTTTTTTGAGAAGTTATACCGTATTGGCCCGAATATAAGACGACCCTGATTATAAGACGACCCCCCCTTTTCCAGATGTACCTTTTGGAAAAAGGCTTTTTAAAAACCAAATCTTGTTTTTTCTCAGTAAAACCCATTTTGTCTTCAATTATTTTCATATTGCATATTTTTCCTATTTTAATTTTTGTTTTGAAAGTATGGTAAAAACTGGTAAAATGTACCAACAATCACATTTAAAAAATATACACTTTTTGATATACCATAAAAATAAAAAAAAACAGGTAGCCCATCTGAATTAGGACATTTAGGCTATCCATCTAATAGTAGCCTACCAAAATCTTATTAACAGTAGAAGTTAAATCTTACTGTAGTCGTCAAATCTTGGTACTGTCTTACGTTTTAAAATCACAAAGGCAGTTTGGTCCCATCAGGCTAACGTGACAGTCACGACTCATGCAGCTGTAAGGTTTTCTGCTTCTTTTGTTTTTACTCGCGATCTTTACAACACCATTACATTACGTATTTCATGGCACACGCGTTTTATGCGTATTTGGCGCCACCTATTGTTGTGGGTGTATTATTGACATGTCAAAGTCTAGACCCTGAATATAAGACGACCGCGTTTTTTCAGATGTATTTCCAAGAAAAAAATATCATCTTATATTCGGGACAATACGGTATTTTTCGCCGCTAGAGGGTGCGTATTCAAAATAAACAGAGACAAAGGCATAGTTTGATGACGCCATGACTGAGTATGGAATCATGGGAGTTGTGGTCTTCATCCCCACAGCCAATGCAATCTGACAGGACTCGGGCAGAAATCATGTTCATGGATGAGCTAATGTATTCAAGATTTATTAGTGTCATAGTATGAAGCAGGGTGAGGCTGAAAGCCGTCGAAGCGAAACGAGGCCGCTGAACGAGCGTGACACACGGCTCGAAAGCAGCGGAGCTTTTATTA